TTTTCTAATGCAGATAGACCTTAGGATAGAAAAACTCTAATTTCTTTTTCAATGGTATTATAAAATTGGGGACTCATTTGGTATTCATGGTTTGATCCCTGTAGGATAAAAATATTTTTACCTTATTTTTCCCCTTTCTTGCTACCCTCACCCCACACTAACAACAGTTTCCAGAATGGTACTTAAGTTGGTGTTACCCAGTTCTAGTTTCAAATGGGTTAGTAATAAACTGTCTAAAAACAGTAGCTGAGAAAGAAGCTAAAATTTCCTTGCTAGCTATAGAGGCTATTGGGTTTGGTTTATTTTTTTTTAAGAGATAGTATAGCATCAAGATGGCCCAATTTGCTGATGGGCAGTTCAGTTCTCAAATAGGCTAACACTGTCTGTCACTTCACCAGAATTACCACTATGTCTGGCCTGCCAGAGGTGATATTCTCTTTATCTGTTCTCTCCCTAAAAGCTTCTGACTCAGTCCATCATTCTTTTTTTGTAGGAACACATCTCCAATTTTATAACATGAGGTAATGGAAAATTGGGATATGGTGCACAAACAACTTTTTAGACAGAAATAATAAAATAAAGGGGAGAGCTCATCTTCTTGAGTTCAAATCTGATCTCAGACACTAGCTGTGTGACCCTGAGCAAGTCACTTAACCCTGTTTGCCTCAGTTCCTCATCTGTAAAATGAGCTGGGGAAGGAAATGGCAAATCACTCCAGTGTCTTTGTCAAGAAAACCCCAAATGGGGTCACAAAGAGTTGGCTGTGACTGAAATGACTCAACAATGAAAAACAAAACTATCCTGTACACTGGTACTGAACCTACAGATTGGTTATTTTTAGGAAAGGTACATCAAAATTCCCTTATGGGTGCTTGGAAAATTCCCTTTGCCTTGGAACAAGGGAACAAGCATTTATTAAGTGCCTACTGGTGCCAGACACTGTGGTAAGTGCTTTATAAATATTATCTTGTTTGATTTGCAAAACAATCCTGAGATAAGTGATATTATTCCTATTTTACAGTTGAGGAAATGGAGGGGGGGCAGGTGTTAAACGATTTACCTAGGGTCACACAGCTAGTATCTCAGGCTGGATTTCAACTCAGTTTTTCCTGACTCCAGGCCTTGGATTTTATCTACTGGGCCACTGACCTGCCTCAATTTTCATTCCACAAAGGATTTAATTTGGGTAGGGGTAATACTTTGTATGTGGCTAATTTGGTCATGGAAGACCATTCAGAACATTCTCAAGAAGTAGTCAAACAACTTCCAGGGATAAGGAATTCACTGCTTGCTTGAGGCAGAAGATTTTCTTTATGCCAAGCCAAATCATCTGGTTTTAGTTTACACATAAGGAAGGACCTCTCTGGAGTCCCAGAGAGGTTGCTCCAGGTCACACAGGTATTAAGTAGAAAGGATTCAAACTCAGGTACTCTGACTAAAATGCTCCTTCTACCACATCATGGTGCTGAGGTAGGGCACTTTTCTGGAGGTCAGCTCCTACTTATCACAAAGAATATGTCTTCTTCAATTTGTTATCTAGGAAGCCCCTAAAATGAAAAGCCTCAAATCTCTGAAAACTTCATTAATATATAATGAATTCTGCCCTCACTTGAATAGCATAATAACACCTCGCTAATTTACATCAATTTCATGGAAAGGCTTGTTTCAAAGAAAAATTTTTCTTAAAGAAAACTTGGGTTCTAGGAATTAAATAGTTCTATTTCTTTAAAATTTGCTCTCTAGCCAGAAGTAATTCCTTAGTATAGATTTTTAGGGGAACTGCTTTAACAAGCACATGGTAAGTGTAATTGGATCCTTCTAAAACAGTGAGAGTTTTAGAAAACAGTATGCCTTATTCCAAAATTGTCACTGAATAATGTGTTATATAAATGAATTTTCTGTATAACTGAAGTTTGCCCCTTTAAGCACTGAAATGTATTTTATTCTAGTAATTCATGATAGAGAGGAATGATTTAACAATTGTTAAACACTTAAGTGCAAATCACAGGCATGATGAACTTTCAAATGGGTATGATCTCACTTTATTTGAATATCTGAACATGCACAAAGCACTGGGCTATATACACTAGGGGAGATACAAAAATAGCTAAAACAAGTCCTTACCACCATCTTTTGGATGTAATTCATACTAACATGGCTTTAATGAAGAGCTACTATAAATTAATTTATTCATTTCTGGATAAAGTCATTCTTATGAATTTCATTATTATAGCCATGATGCCTTTTGAGATGTGTAGACCTGTTTGCCATAACACTAAATGACCCAGGACTACATATTTAAAAAAAAGAAAGAAAAGCTTCAGTTCCCAACCTAGCTCTCTTTCCTTCATCCCCCCTCCCTATAAATCTTCTACTGTAACAAAGAAAAATAGTTAATATCAACAAATGACTATGTCTGAAGGCATTCTGCAGCCATTGTCTTCCATCTCTCCAGTAAGGGGAGGAAAGTCTCTTTCATCATCTCCTCTCTGGGACCAAGATTGGTCAATTAATCTGAACTTGGCTGCCTCTTAGCATTGCTTTTCTTTGCATCTTTGTTGCTATTTTCTGTAATGGTTCCTGTTCTGCTTACTTCACCCTGCATCAATTCATTTAGCTCTTCCCATGTTTCTCTGCATTCTTCACATTCGTCATTTTCAATAATACTCCACTGTATTCATATGCCACAATGTATTCAGACATTCTCCAATTCAAGGGCACTCACTTGGTTTCCAATTTTTTTGCTACCACAAAAGGGCTACTATGAATATTTTAGTATATATGTTAATACATACACACCTTTGTGTATATATGACCACCTTTCTGCCTTTGAGTTCCTTGGAATATATGCTAAGCAGTAGGAAAACTAGACCAAAGGATGAAACATTTAGTTTGGCATAATTCTGGCATAATTCCAAATCATCTTCCAGATTGGCTGGATCAATTCACAGCTCTATCAAAGCTGAGCTCTTTTAGTAATATCAGTAAATTTAGTAATTTAGTAATAGTAATAATTTTAGTAATATTTAGTAATATTAATAATGTTTTATCTGTCTCCTCTCTTTACATTGGCTTTTTCTTTAGATATTGTTTGTTGTGTATCTCATTAACTTTACTCCTCTTTATTGTTTCTATTCTGCCATCACATAACTTAGGAAAAACAAGGAAGTTGTCACAGGAAGGCAAGGAACTGAAGTTGTTTAATTCATCCAACATGTATTGAGCTCCTCAGAGCTTCAAACTGGTGTGGAAATCATAGGGGAGCTCAAATGGCCTGCTGTCCTGAGGACCCTCATAGGAATGAATCAGAACCACGGAGGGAATAAAAGTGGGCATAAGGAACTCAGAGCTGCTTACTTTATCCAATGTTTTTCAGAATTATGATTTTGAAGACCCCATTTGCCCATGAAATACTATCTACCCCCTCGGGTATCAGACTGTTAAGTAATGTTGAGCAATGTCACCACTAGGTGATTATCTTAAAATTGTATTTAATAGGCCAATTCTTACATTTATACTTACATTTATACAACACTTTATACTTTTCAACTTCTAGTAGAGTCCTTCTGTAATGCCCCAGTCCCTATGGGTTTAGGAAAGTGAGTCTCAGTTCTTGATGGCTGTATCAGGGGACTGGAAAAATCCTAGTGAACTGAAAATGTTTCAAATACATAGAAACAGATTGCATGATTACTATCTGAGGACTACCCCTAGCTAAATTCAGAGATTTATCACACCAAGAAAACTCACTGTTTACAGCTTAGAATATAATTCAATAAAGGTTTATTTCATATGTTGTTACATGCCAAAGCAGGGAGAAAGCATAAGTTGGCACCTAGACAAAGTGTGTCTCTATGGGACAAGTGGCCTTCTGAATATGTCACTTCATGCAGATACTTACAGGAAACAGAAAACAACCAGTCATCCTGGTTAACAACTGATCTGTCACTGGCTTTGGGGAAAGTTGGTAGTATTTCAGAGGAGACTTTCTAATTTGCTAGTCTATCATTGGCCTCAGGGGGTGGGCAGGTGTCTTTTTGTTGGACTTGCACAAAAATGGGGTGGGGTGAAGACAAGAAATAAAAGGAGGCAAAAACAGGGGTAAGATGTAATATTTACGGAGGCTTGTTACAAAATGGCACTGCTCATGTCAAGAAAGGGACAATAATGTGTCCCTCTCTCTCTGACACTACAGACTCATCACTAGGTTGACTTTAAGGTGATGGATTTCTCAGTCACAACTTCCAAAGAATATTTAAGGCAGTGGTGTTTCTAAACTTTTTCTTTTCTTTTCCTCACCTAGCAGTGAGGAAATGGAAACACTATGGGAGAGTCAGGAGGCTACTGCGCATCTATGTAATTGTACAATTCACGGCATGCTTAGTCACAGGTTAACACACATTAGTGTACTGCAGCATAGCTTTTGAGATCCATTGGTCTAGGGGCTGCTAACAGAACTGGTATGTGGAATACCTGTACCAATGAAATCATGGAATCTTTAAACTCTGGACAGGTGCAACAATATTATGTGTTGAAATAATAAACCTTTAAAAGAATTTTCATGTTCATATATGGAGAAAGCAGTTTCAGTGGAATGATAAAATTGGAAGTCAGATTGTAAGGTATTAAGACAAGAGTAAGAGAAAAGAGAGTGGAGGCATCTATCTGTAGACTACCTTTTTAAGAAGGTTAGATACAAAGGGCAGAAGAGATATAGAATAACTAGCAGGGATGGAAGGGCCAAGTGAGGGTCTTTTCCAGATAGGGGAGATGTGGACATGTTTGTGGGCAGTAGGAAATGAGCCAGTAGAGAGAGAAGGATGGAAAGTAAGTGATAAAAGTGGGGGTAATAGAGAGGGCCAATATTTTGGAGGAGATGGGGTAGAATGAGATTGCTTGGATAAGTAAAGGGGTTAGCCTTGGTAAGGAGTAAGGCCACCTCATCAGGCGAGATAGGGTGAAGGAGATAGTGGCAGAAGGCATATGACTGATATGAGATGAAGAAAAGGGCAGAAGAGGGAGCTCACAGTGAATGGCCTTAAATTTTTCCTGTAAAATATGAGGCAAAGTTCTCAACTGAGGATATTGGGAGAGGGAACCATGGAACATTTGAGGAGGGGTGAAAATGTTTGGAAGAGTTGCTGAGGAGAGTGAGATAATGATTTGATAAGGCAAGATTAGAAGGACTGCCTATCAGCAGTGAGGGTTCAGTTGAGGTTCTGTATCATAAATTTGTAGTGGGCCCAATCGGAACGATCATGTGATTTTCTCCACCTTTGTCCAATAGCACATGTGTAGGAATAAAGGTGGTAAATGGTGGGAGTGGTCCAAGGCTAAAGTTTGGCAGGGCCTGGTTAGTAATATGATAAGAGGCTGAGAACTCAGGAGAAGAGGACAGCATAGAATTGAACTGGTATACCAAGGGGCCAAGATAGGAAAAAGAGGGAGTAGCTAGTGCAGGCATGATGGCTTAGCAGAGAACTGAAGGGTTGAGGGATTGAAGGTCAGGGTTTGAACAAGGAGCAGGATATGCTAAGAGAAGGCTGTGGGAGAGTTGAAAAGCCAACAGATTATTTCAGATAAGGGGATTTTAAAATTTTAAGCGGGGGGTAGTGGTGGTGGTACACTCAGGTGTTGGCAAGATCAAGGGCATCTTTATATGTGGCTGAGGTGAGATGGAGGAGTAGGTCATGGAAAGTGAATAGGCTGAAGAACTGAGTGGTTAGGGTGTTAAAGGGAGAGTCAATACATATGCTGAAGATCCCAAGTATGAGGGCAGGAGTTGAGGAGAGAAAAATTGTGAGCCAGGCATCAAACTTATTAAGGAAGGAAGGTGAGTAGCCTGGATAGCTGTAGACAACAGCTACCAGGATTTTGATTGGGTAGTAGATATGCATTGCATGAAACTCAAAGAAGGAGAGATTACTAAGCGATGGAGGTAAGGAGAGAACCTAGAAGTGGCAATGAGGAATAAATACTCCAATTCCCCCATCTAAACCTGTGAGCTGAGGGGAATGTGTGAAGGTACAGCTAGTATTGAAAAGGGTGGCTACGGAGGCTATGTCATCAGAGGTAAGCCAGGTTTCAACAATATGTAGAAGATGGAAGGACTGAGAGAGGAAAGATTTTTGGATGAAGGGAAGTTTGTTAACTACACAACAGGTATTCTAGAGGGCACAGTGGAAGGGGAAGGTGGTATTCCATTGGAATTTTGGAGTGGGGGGTTTGGAGGAGATGGAAATAAGGATTTGGGGAGTAGGGGATGGGGAATGGGATTTGGATGATGACCTACAGGGGTTCAGAATCACTGGGATATGTAGGATACCATCAGAATTTTCATCATTAAGTGAAAGGCACCACTCCTCTTCTCAGGGGATGCTGGAGATCATGCTGGAGACAAATGGAGCACAAAATGGAAGGCACACAGTCAGTCAGATGGTGAGATCAATCTACCTATCATTTATCTATCTATCTATCTATCTATCTATCTATCTATCTATCTATCTATCTATATGTGCATATATATGTATGTATATAGAAATCTATATGACATTCATATGCATATATGTGTATATACGCATAGACATATTAGAAGACAGAAATCTTGTCCCCTCTGACTCTTTCCCTTTCCATGCTAAACACCCCAGTAGTTTTAGTGGCTTTAGGATAAAATATCAATTCTTCTGTTTAATATCCAAAGTTCTTCACAATCTGGCTCCAGCCTTCCTTTCCAAGGTTATTACACAAAACTCCTTTTCATATACTCTACATTCCAGCTAAACCAGTATAACTTATATCTCTTGTACAAAACATTCCATTTCCTCCTTGCCTGGCTTTTTCCCCATGCCTTGAATGCACCTCCCTCTTCGGTATGCTTCTATGAATCCCAACTTTCCCTCAAAACTCATTTCAATGTCACCTCCTATATCTTTCCTGATCTCTCTAGCTGATAGCGTCTCTGCTGAAATTACTGTATTTACTCCGTGTGCATGTGAATAAATATAAATATTTAACCCTCTATATTAATTTATTTGTGTGCATAATTTTCCCCTTGATATGATGTAAGCTCCTTGAGGGAAAGGACTATTTCACTTTTGTCCTTGTTTCCTCAGTGCTCAGAACTATCTGATTAATAAATGCTCAGTGAGTACTAATTATATAACTCATTGAACTCAAAGTCCTCCTCTGTTATTTCATGGTGTAGTGGAGGGGACTTGCAGTTCTTGAAAGCTATGCCAACCAATTTCCAACACTGGAAGATTCTGGCTTGTGGCATTTTCCCAGTGAGAGTCTGAGTCTGTTGTCTAATGATTAGCCCTACTAAGCCAAGAACAGAGTGGCTGATTACCAGTAAGTTGGATATTAAATGAAGAATTCTTTGTCCAAGGAAATTTACAAAACAAAGATTAAGGGTGCCAAAATTACACAATTTTAGACTGTCTATAAATGTTAACTGTTGATACTCTAAATGCAAGACTTGTTCAGTGACAAACTGACAAGCTTATTGGAAATATTAAAAGTCATAACACATTCTAAGGTAAATCAAATTAGAAGACAAGAAATTTTCAGCTAAATAAAAAGATGGCTCCAGGTTCTCCTTGGAAAGCAAAAAAGTAAGAAGAAGTGATTTCATCAAACACCTAGAGGCAATAAAAAACAGTATTTCATGGAATAATTGGTCTTTTAATATTGTACTACTAATAATGATCATAAGCAAAAGGAGTACTGTGAAGATAACTGCATCAATATCTGTTTCAGAGGAGGATGGGAGAAATTCTACCATGAATTTGACAAGATTCTCTAAACCAAGTGATTTGAGACTTTTTATATTGCAACTTAGTGACTTCAATGCAAAAATGGATAATAAGATGACAAAATGTTAGAAAATACATATTAAGACTAAGAAATGAAAAATATCAAAGTCTTCTAGAATACCTAGAAGCCTATAAATTATTTTTTTTTTCAGTAAGAAGAGTTAGAAGGCACTGGGCATGGCAAGCATGATAAATGCTTGATAAATAATGACTCACTACTCATGTGGAAGTCTTAGCAAAATAAACTGTCAAACCAAGGACTAGTTAAAGACCAAAATCAACATCAAATTAGGAGTAATGATGAGAAGACACTGCCTATAAAGTGCAACAACTTCAACAGAGTCTATTCAAATAAGATGTTAATGCTGAAAAGTGGAAAGTGGAAAGGAAGGCAAAGTCCTTGATTATTACCAAATACTGAAAAAGTTCAACAAATGTAAATGATGCCAAGAAGAGCAGACCAAAAGAGCTCAGAAAACCATCTTAGCCAGTAGATTCAAACTTCTTACCAAGTGCACAGATGTGGTAGCCAAGGGCAATGCCAACTTAGAATACAAACTCACTTGTATAACACTGAAGAGGATGATGGCAGAATCATTTCATAAAAACAGTGAAAGAAAAAACAAGGTGACAGAAACCTTGGCGTGAGACCTAAGCTACATCTTTTTGAGAATTCATGGGTGGTATTGGCAGGAAGACAAGTAAAAGATAAAAAAAATGGAATAGATTTATGTTTCCATAATAAACTATTTTCATTATCAATGCCAGCAGAACCACTCTATTTGAACCCTAAAATTCAGTTGAAGATGTGGTTTGCAAGGAAGTTGAAATGGTACTTCTGAAAAAAAAAGTTAGGAATGTCTGGAGCAGGTCAAATACAGATCCAGGAAACATGTATTGAAGACAATATAAATTTTGAAGGCATTAAGACAGGAGTTCTTAACTTTTGTGTGTGTGTCATAGATCTCTTTGGCATTATGAAGAAGTCTATTTTTGGTTTAGAATAATATTTTTTTATCAAAAATATACTTATAACTGAAATGTTAAATTTCAGTTACAGATTAGTAAAAATAAAGATGTAATTATTTCACCATCCAAGTACCTAGAGCCTCTGAAACCTTCCCATGGACTCCTTGGTGGGGTGGAGTAGCCTGTGAAGTCTAGAGTAAAGAACTTCTGCATTAAGTGAACATTTTAAAAAGAGATCTCTATGGAGAAAGAGTAGAGGAAGAGACTAATAGAATGGAAAAAAATCCAGAAAATATCACCATCCCTTCAAAAGAAATACTTGAGAGTCTATCAATAATTACCAATTATCTGCTTTCTTGTTTTTATAAAATCTTTGGGAATGATCTGTAAATGTATTGAGGGTACCCACAATGAAAATATGAGAAGCAGACTTTCTCAAACAATTTCATATAGTTGATCACATATTTTCAATTGTACAACTGACTGGAAGGCTCAGATAATAATAATAATAAAAAAGCATGACTTGGTAAAGCAAAACAGCTTAAATGCTATCTTTCAGGAAGAATGCTTGATAAATGCAACTACAGAGGTAATTACTGGGCTACCCTCTAATTATTAATACCAAGTAAAGCATAGAATAGGGAGGTGTATAGTCATCAAAGATGTGCACTACTTTGTGGAGCATGTCTTGCCAAGAATACAAATAGAAGGAATCTCTAGAGGGATTCATATACTCCTGTTGGGTCCACATATTCCTGTTATATAAGTTCATTAAACCCTAGAACATTGGAGGGCATCTTCAATGAGATCCAAGGTTTAAAAGACAGAACTCTGATATTTAACACAGGAAAAATCTAAATGGATGAAAAAAAGCCTATGTTCCAAATGCTGACATAGTTAGAAGGCCAGAAATATATTGTAGATAGTAAATTGGGTCCATTGTTGGAAAGATGTAGGCTAGATTACATGTGGAAAAATTTCCAGTTCTTTTAATAATCCCAAGCCCTACCAGGCATAAATGCCCTCCCAGGGTTGCTTTATGGTTGTGAATTGTGGAACACTAAAAATCTTCAGAAGCATCAAAGTTACAAGGGATTCAAAGACCAATGGAATGGAGTATGGTGGACACCAAGAGACTGCAACATATTTGCAATGATAATCTATTTGTGAGAAGTGGTATAAAGGATATAATTCAGGAATATATGATTTGGGGAGATCCGCCATATAGCAAGAGTAGGAGATCACAGATGTATGTTGAACTGGTACCCATGAAGTGGAATAAGACCTAGAGTAAGGCCTATAAAATGTTGGAAAATCCTCTGTGGAAGTTCTAGGAGAGAATGTAATATGAGACTGTCATAGGATAAAGTATACAAGAGCTCATGTTTTGAAGCTTGTACTGATGACGGGAATATTCACATTAATGGGTCTACAGATCTACTGAAGTAATCATAACTCATTTCCGTAGTGCTTTTAGGGTTTACAAAGTATTTTCCTCCCTCACTGTGGTGTTTATTCAAATAATGTTGTTCAGTGATGCCCAACTCTTTGTGACCCCATCTGGGGTTTTCTCGGCCAAGATATTGGAGTGATTTGCCATTTCCTTCTACAGCACATTTTACAGATGAGGCATATGAGGCAAACAGGGTTAAGCGATTTTCCCAAGGTCATACAGCTAGTAAGTATTTGAGGCTAGATCTGGACTCATGAAAATGAATCTTCATGACTCCAGACCTTGTGCTTTATCCACTGAGCCACCTAGCTGCCCCACTTAAAATAATGGCTGATATTTTGTTGCTTTGATTACAAAGTGCTTTACATTATCTCATTTGAATCCTGTGAGGTGAGTGTTATTACTATTCTTAAGACTGAGTCTGAAAAGTTGTATGTCTTGCCAAGGGTCAGATAGCTTGGCATTATCTGAAGTAGGATTCAAAATCACGCCTTCCTGACTCCAGTTCCCTAGTAAATATGTTGTGACAGCTTTCCAAGTGAATTTAATTATTTGATTATAATATATGTTTTTACCTACTAGATATTTACTGGATTGTGATGACTGTGTGAATAGCTAAAATAAAAATGCTTTAGGTGATGACCACAGACATTTTTGAATTACAATTCTAGACACTGAAACTTGCAGTAAAGTTTATGTCTTGATATAAAAAACTTTCTCTTAACTGGAGGTGTAAGCAAAGCTCAAAAGGCCAAGAAATTGGCAGTGAGATGGTGCAATAGAGAGTGATGAACCTGAAGTCAGAAAGAATTGAATTCAAATATGGTCTCACAAATCCTGTCTCAGATACTTACTAGCTGTATGACCCTGGGCAAGTCACTTAACCCATTTGCTTCAGTGTCCTCATCTGCTAAATGGGGATAATAACAGCACCTGCCTCCCAGGGTTGTTGTGAGGATCAAACGAGATAAAGCATCTGGCACAATGTCCGGCTCGTAGCAAGTGCTATATACATGTTAGCTGTTCTTAGTTAAGTAAATTTGCACATCTGCTGAATAACCCTTAAGGCTTTGTCTGCTCATGAAATGAGGTGTGAAAACGAGCCATTTATTTGAAAAAAGTTCAGCCAAATTATGACTCAATTAAATACTATG